GTCACTTGATGTTCATCAGCGGAACTACGAGATATATGACAAAGAGATGCTTGCTATTATTCGAGCACTCGAGGAGTATAGGCATTATTTGGAGGGACATCCAGACAAATTCGAGATCTGGTCGGATCATCTTAATCTGACTTACTTCAAAACTGCCCAGAAGTTGACCAGGAGACAAGCGAGATGGGCTCTGTACCTCACGCGATTCAATTTTATTTTGCGCCATAAGCCAGGAAAAACAATGCTTACCGCCGACCCTCTGTCCAGGAGGCCAGACCATGAGGAGGGGGTGAACCTCAATAATCGGGATCAAACTTTGTTGAAACCGGAGTTTTTTGCAATCAATGCAGTTGAGGCCTCCCATGAGTCACCCGTTAATGACGATCAACTCCTGAGGGAAGTGAAGGAAGCACTCCTACATGACGATGTGACCAAGAATTATCAGCAATTGCTGAAGTCAGGTCCTAGAGAATTCGGCAAGTCCCTTGTGGACTGGAACTATGAGAATGGATTGTTGCTTTATCGCGGCAAAGTATATATCCCCAACAGCGAGCAGGACCACTTGCGCAGGCGTATAGTTCAAATGCATCATGATCTCCCTTCAGCCGGACATCCCGGAAGGTGGAAGACATATGAACTCGTCTCACGCAACTATTGGTGGCCTAGCATGTCGGTATTTGTCAAGAAGTATGTGACCGGCTGCGACATTTGTCAACGGATGAAGAACCGTCCGCAGCAGCCATATGGACCATTACAACCCAACCGTGTCCCGGAAGGGCCATGGGAAGTTATGACCATTGACCTCATCACTCAGCTCCCAGAATCAGATGGTTACGATGCCATTTGCGTAGTTGTGGATCGATTGACAAAGCGGGCTCACTTCTACCCAATAACAAACGAGTTCTCGGCAAAGGATCTAGCAGAATTGCTATACAATCGGGTGTATCCGCTTCACGGCTTACCATCCCAGATTATATCCGACCGAGGTGTTCAGTTTGCAGCTACACTGTTCCAGGAATGGTGTAAGCTACTAGGGATAGAGTCCACCATGTCCACCACGTACCACCCACAGACTGATGGTCAGACTGAAAGAGTCAACCAAGTTCTGGAGCAATATCTTCGCTGCTACGTCGACTATCAACTTGACGACTGGTCAAGGCTACTTAGCTCTGCTGAGTTTGCCTACAACAACGCAGCACATGAGGGCACCAAGGAGACACCATTCTTCTTGGAATACGGCAGACATCCACGGGCAGGTCCAACACTTACGAAGAAGGTGCAAAGAAGCGACCTCAATGACATTGTTTGGAACCGACAACAAGCGCAGGAGCAGGCGAAAGCCGCTTTCAAACTGGCAGCCAAGCGTATGAAGTGGTATTATGACCAAGGAGTCCAGAAAGTCCCCTTCAAGGTGGGCGACAAGGTCTTACTCGACCTCAGAGACTACCAAACTACTGGACGAAAACTCAATGCACGGTATTCGGGGCCTTTCGAGATTGTTAAAAAACTCTCTCCAGTCACCTTTAGACTGAAATGGCCACCGAGGTTGACCAAATTACATCCGGTCTTCCACGCCAGTAAGCTAATACCCTACCATGAGGCGGAAATCCTGGGCCAGAAAGGACCAGCTGCAAAGCCGGTTATCATTGATGGCCATGAAGAATGGGAAGTGGAGAAGATCCTATCCTCTCGCCGGCACTACTGCAAGCTTCAGTACCTCGTACGTTGGAAGAATACCACTCCCGACGAGGATACATGGGAACCAGTTGCGAACCTCAAAGGCTCGAAGGAACTCATCAAGAAATATCACGATGCGCACCCGCATGCAATCAGGTCGCTCGATGATAATGATGACAAGGTGTTTGCTCTCCTGAAAAGGGATGCAACACTCCGAGTAGAGCTACGAGGAGGTCAGGAACCCAAGAGAAAGACCGATACAGCAGCAGGCTTTGAACTGTATGCGAGTCAAAACCAGGAAGTCGCCAGTAACGCAACACTGCAGATTCTGACAGGAATCCGGATACAACTACCAGTTGGCACCTACGGGAGAATTACTGTCATGAGTTGGCATATGATCAGCATATATACCTCCGGTCAGATGTCAAGCCAAGCTTGACATTGCACCCTTTTGGTGTAGAGGTTATGATGTGAGACCGGCGCATGCATGTAAATCCTTACAATTACCCCAGTAGGGAATCCATTAGCCAAAGGAATCCGAGCAATCGAAGGCATTATCGAGCGGGGTGACCCAGCCGAAGTCAAGGTTGTTGTTACCAACACCGGACCATCCGAGCTGAAGATCGCCAAAGGTGACCCCATTGCTCAGCTCATTATTGAGCGTATAGCCGATTGTGATCTCGAGATTACCAAAGCGTAAAGGCACTTCACTGGTCAAATGGTCAAAACTTCTCAAACGGAGCTCGAAGCTAGAGGCAGGGGTACTGTCACAGTTTCCCTAATTTTACCTAATTTTTCCGCTATTTCTGCGGACATATCAAAGGGTATAGGGACTTATCCATACTTATCCGTCCGCATATGGGACAGCTGCATATCTAAGGGGTTATCCGCTTAAATAAGCGACACATGATCTTGTTCTGGACACATCAGGCTGGACTCTGATGCCGGACCTTTTCTAGATAGAAACCAGACTCCTTCTGGACCATGACATCATTCTGACATCATAGGTAGGAGCTAGGCTCAGGCACTAGGCCATAGGCCGGTCAATTCTGGACCCTAGGCCCAGGGCAGGGCAGGGCCAGACTATGACATCATATATGACATCATAGAGCACATGATACTTAGTAATCCTTACCCAGCTAGGTACCAGGGGTCCATTACCGGTCCCTGGGGGGTTTTCCCTCATGTATATAAGGCAGCATCCTAGGGCACCCTGCCCCCAGTTCTAT